ATAATATAGTTCCTTTCAATTATAAATGACTGCATTTACTAAAAACTTTCAGGACAAGCAAATAACTTAAATTCTTTGTTCACTAATACTTTCGACTGATCGTTGAATTCTAATGCAATGGGAAAGTCAACGATGGTAATATTAAAGATAACTTTGGCCGACGGGAAAATAAATAGAAAGAATAGGAGAGAGAGAGAGAGAGAGAGAGAGAGAGAGAGAGAATGCCGAAACACGATAATTGGTTTGTGACGATGACGACCCATTAGGTGTGTTTTTTCTAGCTGAAGATAATATTTTGACGCGGCGATCGTGCCATCCTATTCAAACACGAATTTCCAATGGTCAACGGCAGCAATAACATCTCATTTGCAAACAACCTGAACGCTTTTGCCTCTAGCCTCGTCAGTTTTCCTTAAGAAACCTTTCGTGACGAAATATCAAGGCTAAAGTCTGAAAACCGACTCAGGATTTTCAATCTCAATGGATATAGAATTTCCTTCATAATAAATCGATTTAAAAGAAAAGCAAAAGTATTTCATTTTCAACTTTTTCCTTAAGAGATCTTTCGTAATGAACATCAACGGAACAGGTTCAAAATTTTAAACAAACTCAATGGAAACTTTTTTCATAGAAAATCAATTGCAGAGATTATAAGCAAAGATCTATAAAAATATTTGCTTAGTATAAGAGGGAACGTGTTATGATTTCATGGGGGCTTCCGAGCGTGGTTCGACTCGATATCGAGGGGGTATTATCGACGCGCGTCAGGTGGAAGACCGGTATCGCGGTCCTGTGGATTCATAAAAAGAGAAAGAGGAGCTTAGCAGCGCGTGGACCCGGCTAACTCGGACGTATCAGATAAACTTGTCTCGGAACGGAGAACGTTCAGTTTTAAACGGTCATACCACGCGCAGACCGGGTCCGGATTCGCCAAATGAACAACCTGTTGTCGGCTCACTCGCCCTTCCGTGTTTCTACGTACGACGCGATTGAAAATTTACAAGAGACCGGGTGAACTCAAATAAATATTGGAAAGTCTCCTGACTATTGAAATAGAATATCTCAACTTTCCTTTCTGTACGCTTAAGAATTATAAAATTGCAAACTTCGTTTTACGTTTAAAAAGTATTTAAAAATTATCTATCAATCTTTACATGAAATACTGTCCCAATTTCCATGTCAATTTTATATGAATTATAATATTAAGTCTTATTCTAATACATGTATAGAATGATTATGTAAAATCATGACGAGTACTCACTTTCGACCACTGTCGAGGAACCTGTCGAACTCCACGGACATTTTGCAGCAGAGGGCCCGCCTGTTGTGTGAAGACGAACACTTGGTGTTGATCATGTGCCCGTCTGCAATCAAACGCGAAAGGGTTGGTGGGCGGTGCAATTAATTAAGAGGTTAATAATCATCCTACCGGGTCGACGTTACAGAGGCTTAATTAATTCGACTCGAAGTTAACCCTCTGTTGCTTCTGCTCATCACCCACGATCTATTCGAGAAAACATCGCGATACTCTACGATTTTTACATGCTTTCCACCTTGCGGACCTTACTCTTTCAAGAATACAGTGCGTCAGTGTTTCAATTACATTTCGCCACAATTAATCGAACCGAGCTCTTGCTCGTAATTACACGGTTTAATAATTGCTCCTGGGCCGAATGTAAATCAAGGAAAAGGAACGAGTCTCTCCAATTGAAAATTAATTATTACTTCATGAAGAACTAATAAAACATAAACATAAAGAAATGGGATTAGATAAAAGGATACAAACGAATGTAAATCACGTGATAATAGAAAGCAATGATTTTAGCTAAATGCTGAGGATAAGAAATAAAGAAAGTACATTGCGTTACGAAGGAGAAAGTGAAGGTAAGGCCGAGAACAAAAGGGAAAAAGAAAACGATTTCAATAATTCATGGAGAAAATAGTATGTTTGAGAGAATATAGATCAAAATTACTTCACACGACTGACGCATGGTTTAGCCGCGTGGGTGGACGAAGCCGGAGCAACAACGCGAAGGATAATAGCTGGCACGGAAGGACCAAGGAGAAGGGATGAGCACGCGAGCCCTCGGGCACCGTCCGACATTTGACCTCACCACGCGCTCTGCACCGGTTTGCACCTCTACCGAAGCCTCTTCTACCTGCCTTCGCTTATCGTAATCCACCCTTCTATCCGTTCTTACCCACGCGGGGTTAGCACCTTAGGAAGGTCGTAACCAAACCAGAAAACTCAGTTTAAACATCGTTAATAAATTTTGTCGAAGTATTCGTTATCGTTTCAATAGACTCACGAGTAGTAACACGTGTTTAAACTTTTTGCTTTTAACGAACATTTAACCATTTTGATATTGTTGAACGCATTGATATTATTAAATATATCAATAATTAGTGTGGAACGAACTTTAGGAATGATTGACGAGGATAGGTGAACGGGTGTAAGCTCGCTTCGCGCCGGCAATTATAGCGTAAACGAGGCCAGTCATTATACCCCGAGGTCTAATTATTCGTGCCTCGTATTATAACAGAAATAAACGCTCCCATTTGATTCTCCCTTTTTTTAATCTTACCATAGCATTTAAAAATCTTACCATAGTGTATAAAATTCAAGATCGTATTAAAATTTCGAACCGTTTATTTATTTCAAATGATGCTATTATTTCTCCAATTTCAAATAAGAATTCGAAATAGTACTCACTTGTTTGGTTCTGGAAGTAGGGATCGTCCCGATCGGTGAAGAACCACGTCTGAAATCAGAGAGAAAAGGAGATTGATTTTAATAAACGATAAATTAATAAATTCTAGCAGAAAAATTATTATTACTAATAAATTATTCCTGATAAATCGAATGTAATTTTTCTTACTTTAAAAGTACATTTACGAGTATCTCGAAGGGAGGAGTCAGGATAGTTTAAACAAGAACTGAAGTCTAAATAAAAGAGCACCTTGTCATCTGGCCTGACGTTAAAGATTGGTGCAGCCCATGTGTTAAGGCGACTGACTATTTTTAGTTAGGCTTTGGTTCCCTTCAGGAAGTGGAACGAAGGGGAAACGACGCGCCGCTGCCAGACGTCACCCGACCCATTGTCTCGAGGATTTTCACGTGCCGGGATGCGCCACCGAAACGGGATAACGCGGATCTGACGCGCGGGAAAAAGGAACGGACGTGGGAGAATGTACTTCGTAACAATTCAAAGTCATAAATTCGTGTACGTAGCTTAGATACATAGTAGCAGTCAACAGAAAAACACAGTGAAGTTTTATGAATAAAAGAATGCGTGCAAGAAATAGAAATGAAAAATTTCTATTTAGGATTTATATATAATTGAACAGACAGCAAGAATCAAAAGAAAAACGTGATAAATAATATAAGATATGAAGAGAAACATTTAACGAGGTTTTATTTCAATATATATATATATATATGCAACGAATTAATATTGACTATTTAATTTGACTAATTTAAAGAATTGGACGGCATTCTAAACTTTGGGACAACAGAATGTATAAGATGAACGACGAGAAGGATGTCCGGTGTGGAGGCAATTAGAAGCGAAAAAGGATGAAAGAGAAAAAAAGAGGCGAGAGGAATAAGGTGCCCGAGTCAGCGTTCGCAGAAGGAACACGAATATCCGGCAAACAAGAGACATCGCACGACGCGATGACGTCAGTGGCACCGGCGTCGCGTTACATCGACGTAATTACGTTAATCCACGCACGTAACGTTGCTGCTAAAACGAGCATCGTTAAGCCGATCCCTCCCTTCACCCTATTTCTCGTTAAGAATTAAGGAGACTTAGAACGAAGTCAATGGTAAGAGTTAAGGAAGATTAGAATACTTGAATCTCACTTTGCAATATGTTTAAACATTTTACAACACGAGAAGCGCGTAATACCAAGAAAACTGTTTAATAATTAAATGCCTAAATAATTAACGGCTCGATATAATTAGTACTTAATGAAACCATGAATTTCATATTTGGTTGTGGTAAGTACTAAAACGCACGAGTAAAAGATAAGAGCCGTAACTGTATTTCCAGTACCCAGATTTAATCTTATTAAACGACGCACTATAATGACGATCCAATCAATTTCAAGGGCGGATCGGCGATCCTCCAAGAAGGAAAAAATAAGGGGACGATTAACTTCGCCGCGAATTACTCTGTGCTTCGTGTAAAATTGGCACGGCGCGGTTCGGATAAATAAACGGCGTAATTGAGCAATTATCCGCGAACAGCTCTTACAAATTGAAGGGTTGCGATATAGACCGAGTCACGGAAACTAATGACAAACGCTTCGATCGATCGGTGTTCTCTTTTTACCGATCCCTTGCGTTAATCGCGAGCCAATCGAACACGATGACTCTCCGTTTGCACTCCCGGCCGGTTGCAACGAACAACGAAAACAATTTGTCGAAACTGAACTCAATCATGCTACTTTGAATACCAATTCAGAGAGATAACACGAGTTTCAAATAAATGTCTCAACCATCCAATGTGATGTATTCGAAAAAAAGCATATTAGACATTAAATGGAATTATGATCTTCGTTTTACTTTTTCAATCACAATTGAAATCGTAGAAAACAGAACAGCAAATTTTCTTTATAAAACGAAAAATATCTAAACGACAAAGAATTTTTTTTAATAAAAGAATATAATTTATGATTCAGTCTGAGGAATACAATTCGAAGAACATTACTGAACTTTGTCTGTCCCAACGAACCACAGTGTAATATGTGCAGCTTTAAACGCACCGCGGAAACAGAAACATTGGCAACGGGAGGAGAAACCGATTTACATTTTGAAACGAACCCCGTGGCAAACAATTCGACGCCCCTGGCAGTTGCCCGCTTTCCTACCTGCCTCCGTTCCCCTACCACCTTGGTAAATCATTCTGTCCCGTAAATTAGATCCCGAATTCGTAACAACAGCGTGAAATGAACATTCTCCAATATTTTCTAACATCCCTTTCGCTCTGCGTTAAACAATGCGAACAAAAAGAAGTAACATTGCGTTTCAACGTTCTCTATCGCTGGTCTAAAACACAACACGGATCGCATCACCGCGTGAATGGCAAAGGTCGAAGCGAACTCACCCCGAATCGGGGTTTAATCACCATCCGTTCCACAAATTACACGCGATTAAAGCGAAATCGGCGGGAACCAACGATATTATCCCACACGCGATTAAACGATCGAGTTAAACGCAAGACATAGCCGTTTACGAAAGATTCTTGTAAACAAGTTTACGAATAATCAATAACAGTTCATATAATCTTACGGCATAATTTACACAATCGGCTGACTCGTAACTTTGTATTTTCATAAGAATCTGATTTCTATATGAATAGATTATACATACATTAATGATTAACTGTGTTAATCGATTCCAGGAGGCATACGAGGAACAACTCGTTGCCTCGAGGCGCGATTTTAACGAAATTCTCTTTTACTCCGAACCGAGCGAAACGAGGCGGTCGAGAAAATAAGCGCTTAGGTCCTCCCGGATAATTGCACCGAATACGCGCGATTCCCGACAGTTCCTCGATCTCTGCCTCGAGTTTCCTGGGCTACCAGTTCCAGGAAGTGTCGCCGCGAGTAAAAGGACCAAGGGAGAAAGGAGTACAATGCATGCAATTAGTCGCGGCAAGATAATATCGCGAAAGTTACGAGCTCCTAGTAGACTGCATCGCGATGCTCCCTACGTTTTCCGAGCCGAAGAGAAAGGTGGATAGGGCGAATAAAACGTAGGGACGAACGGATCCGGAAAGGATGAACGGATAAAGTTCCTTCGATTCCGAGAACGCATACGTGTTTTACACGTACGAAAAACGCGATAGAGAACAAAGAAACAGGGAAAAACGGAAACGGTGAGAATTCCCACGATGGGATCTCGTCAAGCTGAAAATTGCCAAGCGTATGCTCGACCGAACGGTAACAAATCGCGCACAGAGTCGCATTTATTCTCATTCCGTTGAGAAGAACGTTTCAAACATCACATCTACATATCTGCTTGCTCTATCACGGCAAGTGCTTGCAAGAGCAAAGGATATTACCGTATACGTACAATTCTTCTAGTCATTATAATCAAAATATAATATCAATTGATACATCATCAATCATCGTATCAAACTTTGTATCATTGGAAAGCTGGAATATGTAATAAATATAATAAATAATAATATAACACAGAATCGATGTGCACTCCATATGGCATTGATATAATCACACTATATCTGAATTTTTAAAGATCCTTTGGCGCAACTAATGCTGATGGTCTATTAATGCTGTACATGCAACGTATGATGCAAATTATATTAAGATTCGAAATAATTCTTACCTGATCTTTGGCGAATTGGAACCACGTGCTGATGATAGCCGGCAATCGGGAATGGTGGTAGTGTTTGGTGGTCTTAACACTGATAAAAACATCGTCGAGATTAGTAGTGAACGGTGCCATGGTCGCGGTCGCGATCGCAGGTGTCACCGAGGATTCCTCGCTGATTAGCATCCTCCTCGAAGCCGGCACTTCCACTAGCATGTTTCTACTATTCACCTCAACCGCTATCTCGTCCATCCACTAAACACAACGTGACGAGCACGTGAAAATTTGCGACACAAAGACCTAAACACGATCGGAACGATCAAGCACGTACGATACTTAGAAAGAAAGAGCAACACGTGCACGGGAATGTTTATTTCGCAATGAAAACAAACTGAACACCAGGCTCGATTTGCTGTTCGATCAAGATTAACATAACTGGACGCGTAAGTACCAACGCTACGTTTCGGGGGCAACTAATTCGCGCGTTCTGCGAGCGACAACGCTCCCTTTACCACCAAGGTCAATTAGACTGTACTACGTGACTAAAATTAACATACGCATATACACTCAATTCGCGTAACCGCGATACAATTAAAAAAAATAGTATTACGCAACTCACTTAATTCTATTAGACTATAAACATGAAATACATGAAAAATCCGTAATTTAATCACATATTCTCGTAATTAAGACATACTTATTGACTCAGTTTTCTACTTTCGAGATAAAATACAAACGACTTTCGTATATTCCGTCAGTCAAATTTAGAACGAGTACAAGATTGAAGAGACAGGGTCGTTCGTACTTTCGTTGATGAAATATCGGAAACATACCTGGCGAGGTGCGATGGCTTGATAAAGGAGGATCGTAGCGTAAGCAGTGGCGAGAACAAGTGCCAAAGCCTGAAGGCCTCGTCTAGTCGGCAGGCCACGGGGCATTTTAGCACTTCCAGTGCCGGCGTATCCCGCGCCAATCACCGATAAACGAGCCTGAGGCCCACCACCGCCAAACTTCACCGACCGTTCTTCCTCGTGATTTTCACGTTTCTCGCGACTGAATATCAACCACCCCGCTGCTGCATCCTCCTCCTTTTGACGCGTAAAAGATATACCAGTCATAACACTCCTCCCGCGTTTTTACTTCTCGAACATCGCAAGAACTATCAAATCAGAAAGCGTTCGATCACGCATGTCTACTAAATTCACTCTAGATCACGAACCATTGATGTTCGAGTATCAAATATCGCCACATTAATATTAATTATCATCATTGTCTAATGTCAACTATTTGAATTAACCCATCTGTAGAGTCACTTGTATAAAATGAATTCTAAAGAAAAATCGATGTATTACGAATAGGTTGACCTCGTATTGTAAAATTGAATCACATTTAGTCTGTAGAGTGAACGCTCCAAAGTTTGACAGTCAAGTGGTTGTCACACGGTTTCGGAAGAGAGTGCACACGAACGATCACGGGACGAACACACGCACGAAAACATTGCTGTCCGGCGCGCGACAAGCCACCGACTGAACACATGGCCGGTCGCCCTAACTACGCTGTAAACATCGCCATAGCAGCCACTTGCCAGCTGTGGTGGGAGAGGAAACGAGACTCGCGAGTGGCACACAATGTAGGAGATGCGAGGAGTGGGAGAACATCGCGTTTTAAAAACTGTACCGCCCCTTCCCCCTCTGAATTATCATTCTGTTTTATAAATCTAACGTAGGTTTAGGAATTTATTTTTATAACATAATGAGTTCAAATCTTTTTGTTTATTGTATATGTATATATATGTTGTATGAACGTACAGTGTCTTATATGAATTAACTTTAGTTGCCTTGAGTTTGTCACATAGTGAAGACGGATACTGTTTAATGGAATCGTATCCTACATCGTTATAAAAAAATATGAGATCTTAAGATCATTGCTAAATAATTTCGATTTAAAGAGATCGAAGAACAGAGATAATTAGTCTTAACGTTAGTATCGCAGGTCAGGTGTAAATTGCTTCGAGAAACTTCACTTACATTTGTTTGTATTACAATATTTAATTATTAAGATTAATATTTACATTTGTACATGATTGAATGCACTTCACTGTATAGGAAAACAATGGACAATTCGTAAGTACTTTTATCATACACGTACATCCAAGTTATACTTACGTTTCGTAGACCACGAGATCGATAGAAAACGTAACTTAAAACACATATTTGATTTTACATGATCGTCTTTTTTTACATATTTGAATTAGAATTTGTATAAGCTCCAACTGATTTGTAAAAACTACATCACTGATCGCGATAAAAAATATGCTTCTACCTCGTACGATTGTTTTATTCTTCATTAATAAATATCTTCAGCCTGATCGTTAAGGTAGCTGCCACTTTGCACTTTTCAAGACCCAATTGTATGTGCGTTCATCGCACGTCGTTCACGTCGCTCTTCGACGCAAAAGAACTATACTATTATATAATTTGATCGCCGGTCCGAGTCGCAATCCCAACAATGATATCAAATCTTCTTGCGTTAACATTAAAAACGCCTCACCATCGATATTCTACAAACATACAATCAAGTATAATTATAAATTTTTCTTTCTCCTCTTTTCTTTAAAATATACATATAAAAATACATACGTGTTGCCTGAAAACATTTCCAATCTCTTTACAATTTGGAACGCTCTGTATAAACTTGATCACTTCCTCGTTCGACCACCGACGAGGATTCGTGTTTTGCTTCGCTACTACCCTATTCAAAGCATTACTGTGTTTAGCCCATATATGCGGCGCATCTGGCAATGGATTGTATCCCGGATTGTATACGGACTGATACAATTCCGTACGCAATTGCTTGTCTGGCATGTTCGCAGCGTAAGTTATAGCAGTCAGCGACGTATCGCCAAAGGAATTTGAGAGAGAGTATATAGGATCCTCGGAGATCTGACGCCTGCAATTACATGATGATGACGATGAATAAAGAATCGGATTGATAAAGAAAATAAGCGGAGACATACCTCTTCTTTCTTTTTCTCAGAACTTCATCGTCATCCGTTTGTCCATCGCTTTGATGATGTTTCGACTTACTAGACCTGAAAATCATGAAATATCCGTTTATATAAATGATTTAAATACAACAAGAATGATGTGACTTACTTTTCTGAGTTCTCAGACTTTTCATTCTTATCGGAGAACTCTCCATCTTCCTGTTTTATCTCTTTCTCAGTCTTCAATAACCGTTCCTCTAAAAGCAATGGTTTATCCAGCTTATCGGTCTTTTCCATTTTTATTCTGTCAGTCTTTTCTAATTTCGGTCTATCTTGTAAGTCATCGTCGAATTCGCAAATCTCATGCTTTAGATTGAGCCTGTCAGTCAGTTGTCTAACTTTATGAAGATTCTGAGGAGAATACGGGCAACCTGATGCAGAATTGTGCGTTGCATATTTAGGCCCTTTTACATGTCCTATTCCCTTACAACCGTAAGTTCCACATTCTGGTCTGTCGTTTAAATTGTCTGGTGCTACAGAAAATGTTACAATTATAATTACATAAAAAAAAATTTAAGTACTTTAAGAAAGGATTCTTACTTAATGGTGGTTCCAAGGGATGACCCGTTTTCATACACCAACCCATAGGATGTATATCCGGAGAATCGTCATCGACCCAATACCCATGATTCTCTGGCCATCCGTCGAATCGAATTTTTAGCCTGCGTTACAAAAATTTCAATCACCTATTCCAATTAATTTAATATGAAAAAATATTTGCAATTTTACGTACATATGATCTTTCACATCTTCGACCGTCGCCACCCTTATCAGTTGAGGCACCCGTTTATCAACCGCTTCTAATTTCATTCCACGTTTAAATCCGCACGGAGGTCGTTGTTTAAAAGCTCTCGCTGGCGCAACCATAGAACGGGTTTCTCTAAGGTACGCGTCCCACGTAAAAGACTTAGGGTCTTTGTAATCTGAAACAAATTCAGATTTTGTTATGCATCGTTTCATACCTTATCAACCATGATAAGGAAGAATATATATGTTTACTCACTGTTCGGTGGCGTAAGACTATGACCATTGTGATGACACCAGCCTACTGGATGAATGTAGGGTGAACTTGCATCTGCCCAATAATCGTACACTTCGTCCCAAGAATCGAAATGAACCAATATACGGGAATCCATTAGGCCTGCTATACTTGCTACACAAACTAGAGATGAGTGCTTCCTATCTACAGCTTCCAATTTCATTCCTACGCGGAAACCAGTTGGACAGACCGATTGCTGTAACAAATGTACAATTAGCTTTATGAAACTTCTTAATTATCATCTTGATCGAAGGGTACTTACACTTTTGTTTGCAAAAATATTTTTCGGTGCTGCAGTAGCTTTGCAAATTTTTAGAAACGCGTTCCAATTGAAATTGGTAGGAACGTAACCCTTGGGCGGATCCAGCCGATGCCCGTTCTTCTCTGACCATCCAACAGGGAAGATATCCATGCTATCTGCATTTACCCAGAAATCGTAATTCTCTGGATATCCATCGAAATGCAAACGTAATCGATATCCTGTATTTAAGAAGTTCATTTCAATAAATTGTATCGCGGATAATATGAAAAGATAGAAAAAGACAAACGACTTACCTACTACTTCGACGACTGTAAGAACACAATATCGAGAAGGATGCTCGGGGTCTATTCCTTCCAATTTCATTCCAACTCTGAAGTGATTCTTAGCATACGGGAAAGGGTCTTTGAATAATTTAACGGGCGCTGCCTTCGCTTTACAATGTTCGAGATATTTAGACCATGAGAAGCCCAGTTTTCCTGTCTGCCAAGGATACTAATATACAGAGACATTTATGAAAGGTACGTCCGAGAGGTCGTAGGAATAAAAATAAATTATATGTACCTTTGATTCAGTAGCATCTTTATCTTGACTCTCTTCGTCCATTGTTGTTATAGATTCCTTTGTGTCCTCGTCTGTTTCGGACTTCACCTTCTCCGGTTGTGGTTTTTCTTCAGGCATGTCTTCCAGTTCCTTCGGCTGTGGCTGTTGCTGTTCCTGAAGTAATCTCTTACGTTTCCGTTTCGCGCGTAAATCTCTGCAAAAATAACGTTCATGTTAAGCAGTCTGCAATGCTTTTATTAAAAGAATTTTAAATACATACTTTAAGTCTTTGTCTTTCCGCATCGCAGGCTGTCTTTTGGCTTGAATTATTTCTGTACACGATGGGCCGCACGATATCGGACTTTCAAATTCTGCAGCTAATCCATAACATCCACAACCTTGGCAATGATACATCGTATCTGCTGGCGTGGTTCTCGGTTTCCTATCATCGGCTACAAAAATCATTTGCATTTACATGCTGTCTAAATTATGTATGCATAGAAAAACAGATTTTTGTCCTTACATTTCTTTTCGGTGTTGGCATTATTGTCGGTCATGGGACTGGATTTAGAAGAATTCTGGGTTGAACACACGTTTTCTTTGTCACCAATACTGTCCTTACTTTGCTTGTTGTTTTCATCCTCGTCTACTACTTCCATAATACCAAACTCGTTCATGCAAAACTTCAACGTGCTACCAGGCAAAGTGCCGACGCCGTCCTTCCAGTCTAAAACTTTCGCCGCATCGAAATTCGAATCATTCTGATGCAATGTGTTCAAATTATCTTTCGAGTCCTCGTGATTACTTATATCAATCTTGGTATCAGCTTTATTGTCGGTTATTGATTCGGCACCACAGCTTGTGCGTGTTTTAATGATCTCGATCTTTATATCGTCATCCATATTGGCGTTAGCAAGCTTGACGGTTTTGTCTTCGCTAGGAACCACTTTAATCAAAGTAATGTCATCGTCGTTTTGCACTTTCTTATCCTTATCTTGCTCAGATTCTGGACTGCTCAGCGCGTAGCTTACATTAACCACAGTATCTTGATGCGGCTTTGTCAAATTTTGTTTCTTCATTCGTTTCTCGCTCGATCCTCTCAATATATTACTTATCGTCTTTTTCCGCTTCTCAGGAACACCCATGTCCTCCTTCTTAGGAATCGGGGTAATAACCGCGGAGTCTGGATTCTCCGTAATTTTTATACTGTCCGTAGAATTATTGTTTCCTTTGTTCGCGTTTAATAGACTTTTTGCAATCGGATGTAACGGTGGTGGATGGGTAGCCGAATTAGTAGTTTTCGATTCTCGTAACACTGTATCAAGGAATATGATGATAGATTTTATAATCTATTTGCAATAAATATAAGAAGTATTGCCAAATATTTACCTGTAATAGTGCCTTTGTTTTCTGTATTAATCTGACCATTGTTGATTTTTAAATTGAACATACTGGATTTAGTAGGTACACTCTGTTGAGGAATACTGACTGGTAGTAATAAATTCGCCATGTGTTTCGGAGCCTGACTCTGAGATCCTGTGGTAGTACTAGTAGATGTTTGCGCCAGTTGTGATATAACTGGTGCTATCACTAATTTTGGTTTAGTTATCTGTGTCGTTGTTAAAGCCCCTAATAAAATAAATTAATAAACGAATTAAACTATTTCTTTTTTACTATTCTATCATAACATTTTATAGCGAATGAAATGTTAATCACCTGCCGGAAACACAACAGACTCGCGTGATTTATTCGGTTTAATGAGAGTCCCAAGGTATGCGAACGTATGCTTGCCTGCTTGTGCATTCGTTTGATTTCCCTGAGAAGGACTTAAAGGTAAGATCTGAGCAGTAGAAGTGTTAGATTTTCTAAGCAATATATGTTTCTGGCCTTGAGTGGTTGCTGTGGTACTGACTGTATTAATTGGCCGATGAATTACAATATGCTGTTTACTCTGAGAAGTAGTAACCTGACTTGGTCCTTGTATAAATACTTTGTTCTGTCCAGCAACAATCTGTGAATAAAACGTAAGAGAAACAATTCATTTTAGAGTCATAACTCCAAAAGAAAACTTATTCGACACTTTGAAGCACTTTACATATATTTAATCACAAGTGATTGGTAATGAGAAATGATGTAAATGGAAGCTTCTTATGTTGTCATATTTAAGGCAAAATTGATATACTGTTAGATAACAAAATCCACTGAACATAAGTATATTGATTAATCTAATCTATCCTCTGGTACTCCTTATCCATTGTGACAAGTATATTGAACAAATCTATATTTACTATGAAGATATACACCAGCCACTGCTACCACCTACACATGGAATCTAATAGGATTTCACACTTTGCATGTGTACTTTCCATATCAATTTACATGTGGCCATAGTGGAACTATAGTTGACACAGCATATACTTAATACATCACAATTATTCTGGATCATTATACAATTGTAGGTTACTCTGACCTATATACATAGCTATGCAATTTATAGCACTGTACAATACATTATATTAACTCAATTATGTAAAAATTAAATTATAATCGTGAACAATATGTTTTAATTGTTATATTATATTTTTGTATCACACTGAACACAGAACTTGAAAAGGAACTGATGTCTTTGAATTATAAAGATAAGAACTTCAATGAATTACCTGACTGTTGACTGGATTGATAATAGCAGCAAGTTGTGTGGCATTGGATGAAACCAAAGCCTGATTGGTGGTTGTTGGTGGTGCAGAACGTAATTTACTTTGTTGGATGTATAATAAAGGCATAACAGGTGCTGTCTGATCATCTGATTGCGGAGTCTCCATGCTACTATTTTCATCAAGATCATCTACCACTATTTCTTCTTCCATTCTGTCAAGAAAATAATACACTTTTCAACCCTTGTTCAAATATGAACAAACTTTCACTGTGCTGCTTTATCAGTTACTGAACCATTACAAAACTGTTTTGGGATATGAATCAATATCCATATCCTCCTTTACTTCCTTAATCCATCTCATAGAATGATACGAGTAAGATTGTAATAGCTCAAGTACTTTCTCTATTTATAAAATGAATGTCCTTAGATGATCATAGAGAAAAAGCAATTGAATCAAATAATATTGAAAACATCGTGTGAAAATAATTGAGCAAAACAAACGTAAGGAAAAGCATTTCGCAAATTTACACACCTAACAATGTGTAATAGCCCTTATCACTCAGTAGAACTGTCGCTAGTTACATAATTTGCTAATAATTACGACGTTTTCATACACACCGTGACGAACAGATCACGAAAATTGAATATTAAACCAATAGTAGACGAATTGGATCCGAAGCTGTAGTATAGTAGATAGCCATAACTGGGCGTTAAGAGGACTGCTAAACGCGATTTGAAAGACGCGCCGAATTAATATTGCTAAGTAGAGTTACGTTATTAATTTTCTACGCCCTCGAACGAATCGATCGTACAATAATTTGGTCGACGCATTCTGCGAAACGCGAAATATCTCCGGGATACGAGCGTTTCAATAGTTACGGCACGAATACATTCCTTGGAACACTTTTACAAATCGTCCGTCGCGCATCATGAACCATTCGGACGAACACAACGCGCACGCACACTTTTCACTGGAACGAGAAGATGGTTTAAACTATGAAAAATGAATCGTTCGCACTCCGATTTTCGGTTTGACGGAAACTATTGATGCACCGTAAACAGCAAACGAACCGAACCAGTATTCCAAACGATTTCAAACAATTAATTTCACGTATCTTTTAAGCGTTCGAGCCTTCAGTCTCTGTACGCTACAGATACGTCCTCATAGGCTCCAACTGTAGTGGCGACGGCGCAACAGGCCCCACACTATTGGTTAATTGTCGTTACTCTAAAGAACGAACTCGTAACCTCCACCAATCATATGCTTCTCGATGTATTACTAACCGCATCCGATGCATACACAGATTCCTCCCAAGTGCCGAATAATTTTGAAATCATCCAAGGATCATGTTTGGTCGATCGATAATTGTATCCTATCTACGAAACCGTTTCGATGCGATCTACCATTTTTTCCGGTATATTTCTCTGATCGCGACTCTCGATCAATCTCCCGCGCAAATATTCTCAAAAAAAAGGACCACCAAGGGGTTTGTGTTCTGATCGATGCAAGCCGAGCTAATATTTTTTTGAACGATCGATCTCTTCCGATAACGTTCGTCGCTGGTCGGCAGATTTTTCGTCGGGTGATAAAAATATAGACGTATAACCGTGCTAGGAACGCGATGGAGGCGGAATATATTAGATTCACGTTTGTTTCAAGTACGCACAACCACGTATCAGACTTTGTTATTTCATTTTTGTAGTCCTCCGTTCGAAACCAATGGCGATCGGTACACGCGTGACGTTGTATTCCCATCGTGATTCGATTGGCTAAACGTAAAGTACGTGTAAGTCGGGAAAAGGATTCTATCTTTGAAACAGCAATTTCGTCGAGCTGTGGAAAAATTACTAAATTTCACGATCAATATTTTGCTACTGTACCCTCCACGAAAATATATAATTTACATTGGCTAATAGAAAATGCTAATCAACCTGCTTAGTTCGCGTACCAGACAAATATGCAAGTTTCCAGTTCGATATACGTACTTCTGCATTAACCTATAAAGTATAAAAGCGAAATGTTCCTTATAATGCAAGATATATTATTGAATTTCACACCGTGAATTCTAGTGTGATTATAGTACTGACAATGAGACTTCATATGTTTATATTCGAGAAAAATGTAACAGTAGTAAACCATAGTTATGGTTTATTAACATTTTTAATAATCTATAAACTCGACGTAAAATGATAAGAATGCGACGTAACAATGATTTAGAAGTACCTTTGAAGTTCGTAAAGAAAATTATAAACGTAGGAATCCTGAATAAAAACAATGATTGCGATTTACACTTTTCGTAAAATATAAAAATTACGAATATCTTCGTTACTTACAAGAAACAATAAAGAGAGTCAGGAAATTATATTTAGACAAAATACGGAATATTTTTAATGTACCAGGGGTCGAGGTTATTAAAAAGTTTCCAAATTGACAAAGAAAAACCAGAGTTGACCTCTTATTCAAGCTTAAGTACTGTTAATTTCTCATTAGAAGTACGTAAGCATATAATCATTATCAAAGCATCAAAGTCACGATGTTTTTAACTATACATGTACATTTCTAAATGAGTGAATGCAAATTGAAAAAGGACAGGAGCAAAGACTGTCATGCAATTCGCAGCAGCGTGTATTAAAAGAGTTGCACTTGTTACGTTAATTCAGTAATACTTCGCAACTTTTTTCAAGTATCATCGATGCGAGAAGTTATGGGCAACGTTATAGGTATATGTACTTACTCACTAGGATAAGTGAATGTTGCTCTAACGATATGAGCAATAATTTTAAGAATATACTCTATCCAACAACGATAATTAAAAAAAAGTGCTTGACTAACGAAAATCTGGACGTTTAACGATACCACTGTTACATTTTACACAGAAACGGCACAATGTAAACATAAAAAATTATATGATAATAAACTCACGTTTTAAAGTTGTCAGTCGCCATCATATGCGAGAAGACGGTATCATTCTAACTACGCATGCGCACCAACCCATGTTGCTTCTGCTGTAAAGACACGTTCACATTTATACAGTTAGAAAAAAATAAGATCAAAACGGAATAAAACTATTTAATATTAAAAATAAGATATGTATTTAATAAAATATATGCTTGTATGTAATACAATTTTCTAGCTATTGGTATGCTTTTAATTGTTAAGACTGTTTCTTCTGCAAATGGGATCTTTGCAAGTAAAATCTTTAGTATTTACATGTTATTTATATAATCTGCTGTACTATATGTTCATATAATTAATATGAAACAAGAACTGAACGCAGACAAATTGTTACCAATAGAAAATAAGAACTCTTGTAAGAGACTTGTAAATTTTGGTATTATAAACAACAAGATTTTACCTGTTCGAAACGAGAATTAAAATGGTTACACACTCCGGTATCGATCGAAATAATAAATGGAAGGAGTACATAGCGAATTTAATAAAGTTCAGAAATAAATTGGAAAGGTCGATGTCATGTCATAACAATAACATGCTTAATTTTTACATTTTGTAATAATTCGTAATAAATTATAATTACAGCTGCTATTTTTTTTATTGCGCGTTCAAGTATATGCAGGAACAGATTGTAAAAGCTCCAAAATCGCTTGTTTATACACATGTGCATGTATATTTACAAATATATATTCGTAGGCATGTAAATTTATATATTGAACATTTATATTTGCATTTGAGAGACATATGTAAACGCTTGCGCTCTATGTCGTACGTCAGTGTTTTTCAAGCTAAAGCACCAAGAGCCCTGGCGATTTCTTTTCCTACTCCAACCAGTCTAATCTCGTTACTATGGCATAAAGACGCCAGCTAATAACGTATATGCGTATACCTAATATAAACACTTCTCGCGTTTATTGTCTTCGAGAGCAAGTCAGAGAGATGAATGATATCTAATGTATTTCATCCTCTCTCAAGCTCGAACGCTCTTTGTTTGCACCACAGAAGACGGGGGAAAAATCCACCCGTAGGAATACGACACTGTCGTACGCTTGGCAAAGACAGATTAACATATGTCCATTTTGAAGAAAAAGAAATAGCAAAATATAATAACATATATTTTAGTTATGAAAAATAATTGATGATAATAGTAAAAACATGAACAGCCAGATTTTCCAACCCAAATTTATTCTGAACGTATCTTCAGTCGTCTGTTTCCTTTATTTTAGCATGCTACAGTAGTCTATTCAACTTGACAATAGCCTGCATAGCTTGTTGCATTAAGAAACTCAATATACGACAATCGATAAGCTGTAAGCTCATTGCAATCAGCTCATAGATCGAAAAATTCCCCGCTTATCAAAGAATATCAGAAATGGTGCGTTATGCATTAGATAATTAATTTTCTTTTAATCTAATGAGTACACTTTTATCTGATAAGCCCGATTCCAATACCTAATATACACATAACCTCATTATGCTCTTGAGCAGTTCTACAGCAGAAGATTTTCACTAGTTCCCAACGATGAGAATAGATGGGAGCATTGATCAAAATAAGGGTGATAGTGCTTGAGAATTCTAAAGTTCAGTATCATAAAAATCGGAAGATTACAGAATAATCAAGGTATTGAAACAAAACGTTCTTTTGTTTTGGGTAAGAAGCTAATTGTCGCACATTATTAAAGTTATCCATCTTTCGACTCGAAAGCATTAAAGTAAATACAATAACTTTGTGAGCCTACCTAATCCTCACTTCTTTTAATTTTTCTCTCTTGCTAAGTCTTTATTAACATGAATCCTTCTGCAATAACTTTAAGAAATTTTCAAATGTATACGTTCTGGTATATCAGTTCCCGCACAACCCACAATCACGTGATTCGAGCACCGAACTCATGTCCACATTCACCAGGGGTTGTCAGCATCCCTGCGGACCAAGCGTTCGGCTCGAGTCGTAATAAGAGGGCGAAAGGGTGAGCAAGGGGTGGTTTGAGGGTGCGCAGGGTGAGATCAGTTGCGCGGAAGAGGCTAACGCCCAGCTGCCCGGCAGATCGCGGGTTCGTACATTCGCGATAACGTTCTCGACCGCCAACAGATTCCTTGATCTGATTTCTAATCGTCTCGAAGGAGATAAGACCGATCAGGATGTCTCAGCATTTTTGCATCATCTACAAATTATCTGCCATCCTTCTCATCCTTTACGAATACGAACCTGTATGAGTTGTTTCGCGTGGTGCGTCGTACGATGACTTTATGCCCTCTTAGATTTATGGGTGCTAAAGTGCAACGATAGGTGTATTGCTCAAGGAGGCAAGCGAGAGGAGAAATTCTTTGTGTCCATGAAAACAAAATGTGGTTGTGTAATGGTATGGGACAAGGGTCGAATGAATTTTGAGTGTCAGTGAACTGAACTCTCTTAAGGTTTAGTGTAAAAGAACGCTTTTCGTTTGAAAGAGGTCAGTGATGATATACAATCCTCTTACTTTCAATGCGTGCTCCTGTTGCATGCATTTAACGAGCAATTAGTGAATTTTGTGATCTCTTGGAGTCAGGGTCTTGATTTAAAAACAATTATATCATAAGAAGAGACGCATTTTTCAGAATGAAGTCAACAATAGTCAGTCTCTTTTTGTTTCTAATCGGAAGTGCAGCGACAACTGAGACGACAATTTGCGGGGAACGCTTAACAGCATCGAGAGGAGTGATCCAAACCCCAAATTTTCCTCGAGCTTTCCCCGTTCCCATCAAATGTCGTTGGGTGATCGATGTCTCCGATATCCCGGCGACGAACAGTTCCATCGTGGTGTATCTGACCCAGATGTACGTGTTCAAAGGGCTAACATTTACCGAATACGCGTATTATGAGTCGGAGAGCATGAATTTTGGCGCGGCGTTGATAGAAGAGATCACCGAGGGCAATGTGTTCGAATACAAATTGTTTCGAACGTTCAGGCCGTTCCTAGTGATCGAGTTCGAGTTGGATCGGCTCGAAGGCAATCACGTACGCGTTTTGAACGATCTGCTCGACGTGTACGGGTTCAATGTCACGTATCAGATGACCGAAGACGTGCCCAATTCGGATTCTTGCTCCGTCCAACGTTGCTCATACACTGGAAATTGCCTCGTATCTGCAGATTACGCGTAAGTATGACAAATCTATGAATTCACATTTTATCATAATTGTCAGCGTGTCTTTCAATTATACAATTCCTTTCGAAGACATCGTATGGAATCTGTCACATTAGAAGTCATCCACAACTTTTTTAATATCTAATCTCTCGCTACATAAATACGTAAAGCGTGTCAGTACATATGTACGTTGCACTTGAGAGGATCAACACTCTCGAACACAAACACGGCAGGGTTTATCTACGAGAAGCAAGTAGATCCATTGTATTTATCCCAGCGGCCTTCTCAGCAACCATTAAATACGTATTACCCGCTGCAAGCGGGATACTCTTGGAACCTAATTGAGCCCCTTTATCATTTGCTCGGATTACTGCCCTGTTTGCTCTCCTGCAAGTTCGGTCGTGCGGCACTTTCATGCCGAACGATCCATTTCCGACACGTGCTGGTATTGCATTCTACCTTGCACTTTTATATTAAAAAAGTTCTTCCGTTGAGAAATAATTCACCTTTGTAAATGAAATAATATTTTTTTTATTCTCCAAGTTGAAAAACAAGAATTGGATTTGTGGAAAATTTGAGTTACCCTGAATGCCTGTCGCGAGGAATAATTTTGGAAACTTCCACCGTGGAAGTCAAACATGAAAGGGTGGTTCCCAGCGATATCATATCAACTCGTGAATCATTAATAAACCCTGCGCTCCCCAATTTGTCCTAAATTCTTCGACCTGCTCAGGGCATTACTACTGTATACCATACATAAAACTGGTCGTGTTTCTACACAATGTAAAGAGTTTTTATCGGTGGTTTGCTCGCAGCAGATTCTGGTGCGATTGCTTCGAGGGTTTCAGCGGCAACGACTGCAACATAGGCCCTCTCTGCTTCAACGATAGGAAGGATCCTGTTTGTCAGAACGGGGGTACTTGCAAGTATGACCATTAAAATGTTCTAATTCCAAAGAATCCCTTAGACTCGTGGATAGTTATTCTTTAAAATGACACTTAACTATCAAAAACATGAATAGAGGAAAGAAAAATGTAGGTCGACTTATGCTCGCATCATTGCGCTTTCCGAAGTCCTTTTGTAAAAATTCCTTTTGATCAAGCATCGGCGGGACAAGTGACGAGATCGTTATTTGAACTATTCTAGGCAAATTGGAGCGGAAGCGATGGTCTGCGAATGCGCCGATGGCTACGTTGGTCGCAACTGCGAGATCCGTCTTCTGGAAACTGTGGACGGTGGTAAGATCATCGTCGCTGGATTTTAGAGTTTCGGACTATCGTGAATAAATGAATGCATTATGCAATTTAGATGGTCAGATATAACATATTGCGTTTTCGTATATCGTTGCACAAAAAGTATACGTAACATTCCTTCAATCGCGGAATATGGTGTGAGCCTCCTCAGATAACATTCCGATGACTCACGCGTTCGCGTCGAGACGGAGTAGCGTAAATCATTCACGATTTTCTTCAAAGTATGTCGTCGCGAGGTCATTGTCTATGTTTGCAGAATGCGGATTCGAGAATTGCATAAGACAATGCCCGTACGAGACCGAAGAGCAGCATCCCTGCGCCTGCAGAAACGGCACGAAAATTTACAACAGTAAGTTCGCCCTTCCCGCAGCGATTTTCTAGAGTCAGGAGAAAATTTGAAATGGAACACTCTTGCAGATCGATCCAGGTACGAATGCAGAATCAAACTGTCGAACGTGACGTCTTTGAGGACCAGTCTGATTGCGCAGCACGGCAGCCTCGAGTCTTACGTTGGCAAACAGGTAAGCGGAATCCCATAACGATTTGAGGAAAAACTTTGCACGCTTGAGGAATATATTCATGATCAGAGTTGTTTATATATATATTACATAAAACAGTTAAATAATTTTTGTCGAAATTGATAAATTACATTAAATTTGGGAATTTTTATTCTTAAATCTGATTTTCGCGTGAACAGCCTTGCTACAAAGATAACAAGAGTAAATATCTGTTGTTATACTTATGTACGTATAGATTAGGTATCGCGTGTGTAAGAATCTCGCAGACAATATCTATAAGTGTACTCGTGGCGATCGCCTTGTCACGTTCTTTCGCAATCTTTTTGGCGTCTGCCATAAGTCCGACCGACAACGTCTTGTTTAAAATCGAGCACGCGCTACCGTATGACAAATGCATGCGCTTACTTCTTGTGTGCAGCTGTATCGTATAAACAAATATAAAATGTTATTTGATCATACGATCTTCGTGTGAGTTATAACAAGTGACAATTCAGAGTATGAAAATAAGATTATGCAAATGGATTATCCGCGAAACTCCCAGACATTGCATTCGTCGTAACCGTAATTCTCTCCTCGTACGCATTCTGGTAACAAATACTGTTTCTGAATATTCAAACGTTTCTTCAAATCCTCCGTCAGGCCGTGTCTTCCTGGATCTCCCAGATAAATCCTCGTTCCATTGCGTCGCGCTCTTTCGATCCATGGAATTAAATTAGCAGCAATTTCTTCGTCGTACAGCATATCCCCGATGAAAACCACATCGATCGATACCTCTGGTGGCTCGCGTAATAAATTCTCTCGTGACACTTCGACATCCACCCTATTCACTAACGCGTTCATCGATACAGCCGTGCAAGCGACTGGAATTAAAACAATTAAGTAATTAATGCTGTTGAAATATTCAAATATAATAGATGACGCAGTTATGATAAGTGCGAAACAACAACTTGTTTCGCAAGCGATTCTTTTTTTATATCAGATTGAACGAGTGTCGGCATTATGTACAATTACAGAAACACGCAATAAGCAAGTAGGATTTATTACATAATGCCAGTGTTATTCACAATACGTTACTTTCAATCAATTCTATAAACGATTTCCTGCTCACTCGCTAATCATCGGAATAGACCCTGCCATTGTCATTGCTCTTTTAAAATACAACACCGGCGGTGGTCTGATTTAGATAAGATAAGAAGAAAATTATTATCGAACCGATAGTCGAGGCGCAACGACTGTCTCAAATGTCTGAAGAAGGTCGATTATTGGGCAACATTAACAAGAACCGATGTCATCCAAAGAAAGTAATCTAAAAGCGATAAAAATCGACATTCTCTTCGCTTTAAGAATTTGATTAAATATACTCTCTTGGCTCCGCTGTAATTTCGTAAAATGTTCAATTCCATTATTTTAATGTTGACTCCATGAGTTCGCTCTGTTCCGCTACAATTCTGCAGTTTATCAATACGAATTCTCAGTCGTAGAAAAAGAGGATTCTTTGAACGTAATATCGGTGCGTCAGCAGCGTCCGCTCGAGACGGTTTGGAATGCTGCGGACGTAGAACCTAGAATGGACGGCCTTTCACTGACGCACGAGTTGCCAGACCAGTGAAACAGGGAATACCCTGTCTGACCCACATTCCAATCTCCCCTTGACCAATCGCAACACAGTTAATTTTCGACCGCTTTTGAAAAGATTCAGATCCTTCAGGTACAAATTCTTCTCATTCCTTGTGTAAATTCAAATCTATCTAGTCTTGTAAAGTGACGCGTTCTGTTTAGCAAGTTCAATGATGCAAAATACCTGTTCTTATACATTGTTATCGATCCGCATTCTCGGAGAACGTAGTTAAAGGAAAACCTGTCGCGTGCCAAAACGTAACCGCCTATGTTCTCGGAAATTACTTCAATTAATTTTCTCAAAGTCCATAACGATTAAACAAACACTCGAGCATCAGAATACGCTCTCAAGGACTGATTGTTCAAGATCATTGACATTTAAATAAAAGAAGATTGTACATAAAGTATCAGGCTTGACCTTTGAAATTTTTTCTAATCTTCATAGTCTCAAGTACATTTGTATATAAGTGATTTTTAATACTTCCTCTAATACTAATACCTATTATTATCAAATTAAAAGCAATCTCCTGTAGCTACTTCATTCATTTACCCATCCGCTTTCTAGTTTCCTGAACAGGTGCGCGAATGACGTCAATTCTACCTTCGAGTTTTGCGCACATTTTCCCCATTGCCCTGCCCGGTATTTCCATGCGACTCGTTTTCATTCCCAGTCGTAATATACTCGGTTCTTCCCGGTGCAATTCTCTACATATCCTGAGGTGATAATTTTCTCTTAAACCGTCGACGCTAACCGTGGCCGCTGTGAAAGAGTGCAGCTAACGATAATTGCGTTTTAACGAGGTTGAAAATGAATCGGGTAATGTATACGAAACGCGTAGAGCGAGCCGGCCGTTTCTTTTCACGAGCCACTCGTGAATAACGGAGAGCTTTTTAAAAGTCTGTAAACTGCTCCGTCATTCCCACAACTTTCCTTGATAGATTTTTGTGGCTTTATTTTATACGCGTACAGGTAACTATTTTTTTATGCAGAGACTCTCGTCATTAATTGTAACAATACACGTTTTCAGTTATATTATACATACCTTCATTGATATCATTAGCTAGAACCCTTGCAGCACCAGCCAGTTTTGCTGCTATGGCTGTAGCGCCACATCCGGCACCTAGATCCAGAACGTTTTTGCCCGAAACAAGTGGCCTTCCTTTATCTAATATGAATCTCGTCAGCGCCTGTCCACCTGGCCAGTAAATAGACCAAAATGGATCCGAGAAAACCTTCCTTTCTATTTCATCCGCCTCCAAAATCTTTTGGAAGAATGCGTTGTAAAGCTCGCAGCTGGGTGTTAAAAGAAACAGCTGTAGTTCGGGTGTCATGTGATTCCTGGTAAGCTCGGTGCGGTTCAGAATTACACGAGCCACGTTCGTTTCATCCGGTGCGACCCGGTCAATAACTCCCTGGTAATTTCTGCTCGTCGAATACCTCGAAGAGCTTCCTTCGCGGTATGCATAAAAGGGAAACCAGTTTTTCTGGAAGCAATCTAAGCCAAAAAGCTTTCTGTATGAATACGCTTCATTCCAAGAAGTACTAAATATTTATTTTTATATTGTGAAAACGATCAGAACAATCTTAAAGAATGATAAGACGTTACGTCTTCTCGGTACGTTATCTTATCTCCGATTAATTTTTTATTCCCTTTTCGAGAGATAAAACTAGTTGATTTTTGCGAATTATAAAACTTGATTTAAAAAATTGTGGCATCTGTTGCGCAATGTTACAAGAATCGTCAGAAAATTCTCAAATCTTATTCGGCGAACAGCATTTTACTGCGTGAAAGCATTAACGGTATGCCAAGGTCGATCCATTCATAAAACTGTACCGAGTGGAGAGATCGTCCTGGTTTTCCACGCTCGCGTTAAACGTGACATTTCAATAAAATTCCAATCCGAGCCAGTGCACCGTTCACGCGGTAAACGCACGAGACGATTATGCGACCTGTCTGAGTATTATCCGGCTATTTTTAGACCGCTCTGTTCCGGGAATATTTCTTGTCGGTTTCGAGATTGCAGCCGGCGATTTCTTGCCCGAGGAGTTCGGGATTCCCAGTGACTGCGCCTATACTCGAGCAAGGTGGCTGACCGTTCACTTGAAAAACAAATAAAAATGCAGATAAAGTAAAAGGAGCAAGTTTGAAAATGAAAGTTTCCGACGATTTCGTGAAGTGTCTAGATTTAGCAGGAAATCCGCTAAGAATTCATAGAATACATTTCGCTTCACATGACATATAAATGACGGTTTTATTATGGGTTACGCAAGTCATTAATTTTCCGATTCGCTGGAATTAAAGCAGTTATTCGTGATCGATTTAATTTTAGCCAGTCTGGCACGTTTGACGGTGTGTGACTACACACGCGTATGAAAGGGGATTAGGAAAAGAGAGATATAGAAACACTTTAAAAGGGGAACAATTGAAAACAGATGCGAGGTATCTACTGTTCGTGATTCCCCTCGGTTCTCCAGGTAGATTTCCACCTGGATTTATCAACGAGTCTGTCTGATGAAACCGAGAGACGAGAACTCCGCTGTTTGCATCATGTGGGGTATAGGCACGCTATGTTTGACACGGCCACGTGTCATCGATCGAGGAACCCTGTCGAGAAGAAATTGATGGGGAACCTGGTCAAACAAATTTTCCGCGGATGTAACCGAAGTTCACGAGCGATAACTGGATTATTCCAAGTCCCGTTCTACGACGATCGAGTAGGAAGAGGCACCGAGTAGATAGCGTGCATATTCTTAGAGATAAGACTACTCATTGTACGCAAAGAAACGCAATCTCATTCTCGGTTTCGCCAATCAAAACGACCTCGTCTATCAGTCCTCTTTTTTCCTTTCTTTTTAATAAAAATACGTTTCATCTTCAGAACGATCTAAAGGCGACATTTTCAAATGAGAAAACTAAAATTTCCGTCCATGAACCGGTGTTCACAGAAAACACGAATTCTCCTGAAACGCGTCTCCAAGTTCAAACCATGACGTAACTCAATTTTTGCGAATCATCCGCCTCGCGACTTTCCGTATTTCACACGGGAATTCTTAATTTTCTAGGCGACCGAAGGAAAATAACAAAAAGTTTTCCTCCAATTAATATTAAACGATGGTAATTAGACTAATTAAAAATCTTGTGTCTTTCTTGGTCGCTGTAAATTTTTATACATGTATGCGTCTAAGGATTACTGCGAAACTTTCGTTCTTCGCGTTAGTCCGTTTCCTAGTAAAAGCTTTCGATTCATCGATAAAAAGCTGCTGGCCGCTGTATGTACACAGTGGGTTTATCTGGAATACCCGCGAATATATAGCGCGATAACTTGGAGGGGGAACGAGACCTATAAAGAGGCGCTTGCCAGTTGTCGAGGTCACTCGTTACCAGACACTCGACGGAGGTACTGTGCTCGTAGCACTTGTATCTTCGTGAAAGTTTTCACTATTGCGTAAGATTGTTCATCGAACGAAAGGTGCTCGTGACAACGTAACAGTCTTCTCAGAAGGAGCAGTGGACATACGCAGTGGATAAATTGCGAACAGTGTACGCGAATTATTAGAAACTGGCGATCAAAAAAGGAATCCCGACGTTCAGTGAAGTGTGCAAACGAACCACGCCAGGAAACAGCAAATTGAGAAGCGAAGAAATCGAGGAAATACAGACCAGAGATATGACCCGTTGCCAAGTACAGTCCTACGCTTCAGCCACGATGACTGATAGGTACGGTATCTTCACGTTTTAACGCGAGTCACGTTTGTTGCGGGCACGTGACGTTACGTGTGCTCCTCTCACGAGGAGTCCGACCACGTTGCCAACGAGTAACGTCGCGACTTTACTGGTTTCATTATCACGTTCCTACCGTCTATCTTGATCAGTTCTTAAAACTGGATCGGACGAGCAAGCTAGAAATTATCGGTGTTAATTAATTTTCAGTGGAAACCCGTGGAAGGAGCAGGAGATGCTCAGTTCCTCGAGGACGATAACATGCGGCATGCTGCCAACTCTTCAAGCATTGGCATCCAAGGGATGCGAAAACAGTCAGGGCATCGTCTGCCTCGTGCCATTCGATGCCGATATGGACTCCGCGAGCCATCTTCAAATGATCCTGTTGGAAGCATATTGTCGCGAGACGGGGATCAAGGTGTTACGAGTCTCCAGGGAGAGGATACGGGAACATCTGTGCCCCGGGAGCGTAGATCTCTCCTGTGTACTCATCTCCAACGACGACCCATATTTCATAGACACGGCAAAGTGAATTGGAAACATGATCTGACCATATGGGAACGAATTTTTTTTCGACTGGTCACAGTCACGAGATATCGAAGGAGATCTTCGAGGATGGAGAAGGAAGTTGAAGGAGATACTTTAATCGATCTTGTTACAAGATCGACACTTCGAATTTCCTGATGTTGGGCGACGCCTCGACACGCAACGATCGACGGTGTCCGGCACAGGGTCGTCCAGTAGGCAGAGATTAGCACTATCGCGATAACGATTGATTCCAGATTGCAATCTTGATGGACATTATCGACAATTAAGCCACGAAGTTAAGCGAACGATTGTGAGATCGGATATAACATCCATTACGATTCCAATTGTTTAAGCGAGAGTGAAAATAACTATTTTTGTATAATATGTAATAGTTGAAAGGAGTCATTGTTAAAAACTGATGATTATATTTTAATGTATACATATTCTATGAAATAACATTGTTGTTAGTTTATTTATTCCTGTAAGTCCTTACGTATATGTGTGTATTTACTGTTTTGGAAGAATAGTAAGTTTGGGTAATTATTCTTTCAGAATAGTAGTACATTCCTCCTAACATTTTCCATGATTTTCAAACGCCTTGAACTTTTTGCGTAGCTTACAAAGTATTTAAGGAATTCGAATATTTCGTCCATGGAGGATTTACAAATCCTGAGCGTGACGTGAGTAGGTACATTAAACAAATAAAGAGATCAGTTACCTTGTTAGTTACCCGTGATAGAAAGATCGTCCAAAAGTATATAGTAGAGAGGAATTTCGATAAAAAGAAACGAGATATCTTTTCATCGTTACGCAGGCCCACGTCGGAGATTACGTTCCATTTCTTCGGAAACTCGGAGGATGGGGATAAAATTCGCGAATCCCTCAACAGATTGGTCCAACGTCGACGACTCAACGAGATCTCCCTCGAATCGACTCATTTCACCTTTCAACAAAAGCCTGCCCTTAAATTAAAGGTATACCTATTATACCAATCCATCATCTTGTTCTTCAACTCTTGTTTTAATTGTCTCACCAGACTCTCAAAACGAATTATGGACACGAGCATGAGATCCATTTGGGAGATCAGTTCACTCTGTCTTGTGTAGCTCAGGGCAGTCATGGCATAAACTTTACTTGGTACAAAGACAATATGCCGGTGAACATGAACAAAGCCGTCAGGTGAATAATCAAAAAGATGTTCAAAATCACAGCGGAATCATCCTTTCAGTTGAAAGATGTTGAATCTTATTTTAGAGAAATTTGGTACAAGCAACTTCCTACGGACGGTTCCGATCTACATACTTCAATATTAACTATAGAAAGAGCAACTGCGCTCGACGCAGGTCAATATACTTGTCAAATAGTAGACTGGGGTGCGCAACAATGTAAAAGTATTTACGTAGACGTGAGGGATGAACCAAATGTAAAAGTAATGCCAATGAGCGCTACTATAGACAAGGTCAGTTTGAAATTATTTGAGAGATTCCTGTACACGTATTGTGAATATCTTCTCTTTCCAGGGAACCAATATACAATTAATTTGCATGACGCCAAACATGCCTAACATAGGAATTGGTTTCGGCTGGACGAAGAACAGAGCCTTGTTAAAACTGGAACCCGGTAGCGAAGTCTGGGAAGATCTGCATCCAGCCGGGAGTATATTAAAAATTACAGGCGCACAGGTACATTAAGGATGTATTGGCTATACAGTCAATCCCACAAGTTTATGTACCTTAGAAAAACGCATTTCCTATAATTAAAAAGAAATCAGACGTCGGAAGAACAATGCTAATAATAAATAGCTACGTGCTAAAAACTATAGA